GGAACTCGGAATGACTTGTCTGCGTTAACAGAATTATGGCCAGACTTTGTTACACACTAGGCTTACACTTACTATTTAAATAAACTGTACAATTGTTTATGTGAGCCTGGAAGCCCCCTAGATTAGCTATTGCTAGCCTGGGCTTCACAACTTAACTTCTACTTTATTGATAATTATATAGAGATAGTCAATACATTACATGTATTACTAATTACAGTATATTAGATAATTAATAATTAATTTAAGTTATTTACAATATTAATAATAATTTATAATCTTAATTAAACATTTAAACATAATAATAATAAATAGGATATTAATATAGAATTGATAATAATATTAAATATAGTTAATTATAATCAAATTAACTTAATTTGATTAAATAGTATTTTAAGTTATAATAGAGAAATACATAGAGATACAGTATATCATAGTTATAATGTTAAAGTAAACTTTATATTTTAATTTATTTCTTTGGAAGCGCTTAAGTGATATTATAATCATCACAAATATTTTAATTATTTATGATTAAAAATTTAATTAATATTTAGTAACAATAATGTACTGTAATCAATATATAAAATATTATTTATAGTTTACAACTTGTATTATTAAATACTTATAGCACACAAAACAAATATTAATTTTTAATAATTTAAATTAAGTTCAATATATTTATTAATTTTATTATTTTTGTATATTATTTTTTTCATATAAAATTATATTGATTTTTTAAAAAAACAATTACAAAAAATTTTAATTTTTTATATTTTATAATCAATTTGTTAACAATATAATTTTTAAAAAATTTAATTTACAGTAAATATTGTTTATCTATGAATAAGTTAAAATACTAATAATGTATACAAAAAAAATTAGTAAATGTTTGTAATATTAAAAAACATTTTTAACTTTAAAAATTATAAAAATGTAAAAAGTTGAAATATTTTTGGTTTTAGTTTTAATAAAATCTTTTATCTTAAATTATAGAATGGAATTATGCTTATTATTTATTGAAAAATTTTAATTAATTAATAACATAATAGTATTTGTGTTCACATATTTTTGTTAGAAATAAATAATTTTGTTAACTATTAAAAAACTATCAAAATTTTAGATTCTGTTGTTTCAAAATAAAATTCAATATCAATAATTATAATATATTAGCTTAATTTAAAGTACTTAAATAACAATTATTAAATTATTATCATACTAATAATAATAGTAAATTATATATTTTTAAAACAACTTATATTTTTATAATTTTCAGCTTAAGTAAAATTTAATTTATAAATTAAAGAAAATTTAAAGATGTGATAAATTTATCTATACAGTTTTTTACAATAGTTTATTTTTAAAATAATTAATACTGTATAAAATTTATAAACATTTTTAAATGTAGATTTATTTATTTATTTTACTGTTTAATATAAACATGTTATTTATGAATCATAAATTATGATACAATATTAATAAATATTAAAATAAAAAACTGTAATAAATTATATTTTTTCAATTTTTACTTTTAATAATAATTAATATTTTTATTATTTAGAACCTTAGAAATCATATGTTTTTATTGATTTTTAGTTTACTTATAAATATTTTTATTTATGTACAATTATTTTTTGTTTTTTTTAAAATCTAGTCTACTAATTGAGCATGATCCAAATTATTTTTTTTAAAGATATTCATAAACAAACTGTATAACTAATTTATTTATCAAAATACTTATTTAAAACATATTTATTAATTTGTTTGTTAGGTATCATTTCTATATGGCAGTTTTTTTAGTAAACTAATTAAAAAATAATTTATAAATAAGAAATTCACTAAATGTAAAAATGTTTTAATTTAATTAATTTTAGTTTAGTTATTTTTTTCATTTTAAATGTACAGTATATAAATAGATCAATACTTATTAATTGTTAAAATATAATTAAATATAAAATATAAAATATAAATATTATTATTGTATAATAAATATCACCCAATTTAGACATACTATCAGATTATCAATAAATATGTTAATATTCATACAACAAAAGCAATAAAAATGCATCCTAAAAGTAAATATATATTATTGACTATTAATAACTAATTATGTAAAAATTAATTTTTCTTTAAATTATAATTATTAAAAAAATTAATTCAGTTTTGAATCTAAAAATATAATAAGCATTTGATTTATTAATACATAGTAAAACAAAATAAAATTTAATTACAGTTTTATATAGGCTTAATATAATATTATTATATTACATATGAAATTTTAAAATAAAATAAAACAAAAATGATATTAGCATTACTTATAAATTAATTAATTAGAATATTATTTATTTATGATAAATCTAATAAGTATTAAGAATATTTATTTAATTAGTAATACCATTTATAAATTAATTTTTAAAATTATAATATTAATTTAATTTTTTGAAAAATATACGATATTCATAAACAAACTGCATAAATAATTAATCATATAAAAAAATTATTAATTAAAAACATATTTATTTATTATTTAGTTAGCGATTGTATCGTAAATATTTTTAAAATAAAGCAATTGAAATTTTTAAAGCGTACATAAAGACTAATCTTTTATTTTACAAAAAATATTAACACGAATTAACTTTTAATAAATGTAATTAAATCTAATATATTTAATAATTATACTATTTTTGTAATTTTTTTTTTACAAAATAATATATTTATTTTGTAAAAAAAACAATTACAGTTAGTTTTAATTTTTCATATTCTAGAATCTAGAATCTGTTTGTTAACAATACTGTATATATTTTTTCAATCAATTTACAAATAATTATAGTTTATTTATCAATAAATTATAAACATTTTTAATTTAGATTTATTCTACTGTTCAATATTCTGTCTTAAAATTACATGTTATCTTAAAAATACAAGATTAATAAATATAAATATTAAACTGTAATTACATATATTTTACAATTTTTATTTTCACTAATAATTTATATTTTTATTTATGAGATCTTAAGGAATATAATGACTTAATTAATTATTTAATTTAGTGATAAATATTTTTATTTATGTATAGTTATTTTAAATTTTTTATTAAAATCTAGTCAAACTATTTAGTCAAATATTACATAATTAAATTGTAAGTGTATTATACTATATTTTTAGAATGTATATATTTAAAAAAAATTAATTTAATATTTTAAATAAAAAACACTACTAATATATTAATTGCAATTATTAATAATAGTTTTCAAAGTTGTGTAAAAAATGTTTTTAAATTAATAAAATTTATTATTATTTAAATGTTAAAAATATATTTAAAAATAAAATTTTATTACACTAAAAATTTAATGAATTTAAACATTTACTATTAAATATATTATTAAATGTTATAACTTTTGTTTAATTTTAGTGATTTATAATTTGTTTATTATTATTGACTGTTAATAAATTTAATATTAATTTTTAGTTTTAATAAAAAAAAATTATTTTAAACTATACATAACCTTAAATTTTAATAATAAGTATAAACATATTATTTTTTATCTCTTAATAAAAATAATAAAACTAACACATTTTAAACTAATATATTTAAAAAAAGAATAAATTTTAATAAAATATCTATTTCAGTTTTATTATCATAAATTTAATTCATTTTATTATTTTTTAATTAATAATAAAATTTTAAATTTTCACTATTATAAGTTTAAAAATTATAATTTGTGTTTAAATGTTGAATAAGATTTTTTATTATTATTAATATTTATAACAAATGTAATATCTTGTAAAAAGTAATATTAATATTAAGTTTATTTAATAATTATTAGTTTTTTTTATTACAATATAATACAAATTAATACAATATTAATAAAAATAAATATTAAAAAGTAAAAACTGTAATTGATTATATTTTGAAATTTTTACTTTTAATAATAATTTATATATAAATATTATAGTGTTTGCTTTACAAATGAACTTAATTATATAGTTTACTGATAAATATTTTATTAATGTACACTTATTTTAAATTTTTTAATTAAAATTTAGTCTACCTATTTAACCAAATATTACATAATTAATATAAACAAATGTATTTTTTAAACAGATACTTATATTAATGTAAATAATGTTTAAAAATAATATTTGAAATAAAAACATTTCGATTATATTAATAATAATTAATAATAATATGTATAATAAAACTTTTTTTTTAAATAAAAACTTTATAATAATATAAATTTATATTTCTAGTTTAGATTTAAAAATATTAAATATTTTATACAAAATTTTAATAACTGAAATATACATATATTTCTTATGAGATTTCAAAATAAACACAGAGTTATAAACTAAAACTGTAAAAAAATTATTGTTTAATAGTTTATAGTTTTATTAGTTTTTAAATTAATTTGAATTATTAGTATTAAGTAGTTACTGCATATAAAAATTTATTGATTGTATTTTTAAAAAAATAATATTATCATTATGTTATTAATTAATAATTATTTATATTTAATTATTTAAATATATATTTTTATGTGCAATCATTTTATTAATCAATGCATTACGTTATTTAAAAAACAAATTTCATCTACAATTAAAAAAATAATATAACATTATATTACATCAATATAATTGCATAATTTATTATCACTGTTGCTATTGTAATAAACTATTCATACGTGTTATAAATAAATAAAAAATTGTTTTATATATTACTCACTATTTAAGTGGATAACAAAATAATAAAAATATATTATTTGTGACATTTTTTTAGTTATATTATTAAAATTAAATTGTCATTATTTATTTAAAAAATTAATAAATCTATTTAAAATTATTTTAATGTAAAGTTTAATAAATTAATTAAAATGTTATATAATATAAAATTATTTAATTAATAATATTTATATTTAATTTATTAATTTACAGATTTTTTTAATAATTTTATTTTTATTTAAACTACAATACTTAAAATTAAAATAAAGTAATTTTTTAATAAAAAAATGCCTGGATATGATTGCGACCGATTTTTAGACATTAGTAAACAACAAACCGATGAACTAATGTGCTGTATATGTCAGGCCATTGTATGCCAACCAATGGTCGCCCAATGTTGTCAACAATTGTTTTGCTCGGATTGTATCAATGATTGGCTCCGGGATCACCATACCTGTCCCTATGATAGACAATTACTTGCAGCGGATAAACTAACTTATCCACCAAAGTTTGTATAATTTTTTTATTGATCTGTATGTGCACTATGTATATGCTATCTCTATATATATATTTTAATTTAAATATTTTTAAAAAATATATTTTTTATATTATTTTTTTTCTATTTAAAAATACAATAGAGTATTGGTTTGCATTTAAATAATTTTTTTTATATGTATGTGCTCTATGTATATGCTCTATATATATGACTTTATAAAATATTTTTATTTATTTTTATTTTTTATATTTAAAAAATACAAAAGAGTTTTGGTTAACATAGTATCCAATTTGCGAATCACATGCGACTATAGAGACCAGGGTTGTCATCATACAGTTCCCGTTCATATGCTGGCCAAACATGTTATGGAATGTCCGTACAATGTAGTCGATTGTCCCCAATGTCATTGTCGGTATACCAACACCAGTGCCACCACCACTACCACCACTACTACACCAAATAATACCGATACCGACAACAATAGTCAACATAACTGTGTAAACAGTTTGATTGCATTGAATCGTATGGCTAATACTGAAATTTGTTCCATGCTCAGTTTGGTTAAAAAATTAACAATGCACATTTTGAATTCAAATAATATGAATACTATGGATGTAAGTTACAAAATAATTAATTTATTAAATTAATTTTCTATTTTTTAAAAATAAAAGTTAATTAATTTTAGAAATATATATATATCAAGTAACATAGTTAAGTCAAACATCTAATTTATTATTGACATTTTTTAGAAAATTTAAAAATACTTTTAATAAATTATTATTTACAGTTTTATTATATTTTTTTATATAAAAAATGTTATTTCAATATTTAAGTTTTAATGTTATAGATTTTAAAATATTAACGTTAACCATCTAATATGTATAATATATTTATATAAATAATTTTTATTATTTTCTCAACATTTTAAAAAAAACATTTATTTAATATATTTTTTTTAATTAATTTTTTAAAATTTAAAGCTAGAAAAATTTGATGAAATTAAAAAATTATTGGCACTAATTCAAACTAGATTACAACAAAATATATGTGACAATGTTATGCTGAATTCATGGAGTACAATTTGTAAAATTATTTGTAAATATTTATTTATTTAGTTTTTAGTATAAATTAATTAATTTTTTGAAATTTTTAAAAAATCAACTTTTTTTCTATCACCTAGATGAAAGTAATAGTTGTTATACAATGTTTACTGAGCAATTTATTAATAACAATGGCCTTGATACATTTGTTGGCTGCATGCATATGTTTCCCAATAATTTAGGTATAAACCTAACCTAAAAAAATAAAATGTTTTTTAAAATATAATTTTAATTCAAATTATTAACCTATTATGTATATAAACCTTTTATATTATTTTTTTTTATTATTATTAGAATTAATGATAAAAATGTTATCAATTATAATGAAAGTGTCTGAATGTCCGCAACTTATCCATAAACTTATGAAACCGGAACTAATCGATACATTTGTATCTAATCTTGATTTCAATTATCAGTTTATTAGCTATAGTTCGGCCATCATATTGACTAATATTGGTTTGTATTATAAGTTTTATTTTTATTTATTATAAATAATAATATATTTTCATTATATTTTTAATAGCTAGTTTAGGCGATCAATTTTGGTCACAATATCTACCTGATAGTTATAAATGCGATTCAATGTTATACAAATTGAATAAAACAATTGGATCATGGAAGATTAATACAAAACAATTAAAATTAAATTGCAAGTAAGTTTAAAAAATTTAATTGAAAATAAATAAATATTTTTAATTTTTACAAATAAATAATAATAATAATACTAAAAAAATGTTTTATGATCTATATTTATAAAAAAATATTTAATTTGTTACCTAGATCGTTAAAACCAATTTTGAACTTGCTGAAAATGTGCGATCCTAATAAATTGGAAATGTTGTATTGGCCAGTATGGACCCTGGCACATTTGACTAGAATAAATAGTAAAAATATATTTATTTATAAAAAATTATATAATATATAATAATTATTAATATTTAAAATTGAAATTTATATATTATTTATTTATTTTTTTATTATTTATTTTAGGTCAAAGATATTGTCCATTATTGTTGAATGAAAATGGCATAGAAATTGTTGAACAATTACTAGAAAATCAATGCCTATCCTATCATATAAAACATTTGATAAAATTAATATTATATCAATACTATAGATATCAACAAACTGGTGAACTATCGGATTTAGTCGATAGCGATAACATGGATATACCCATAGATTATCATAAATATGTTAATAATAAACAACAACAACAACAACAACAACAACAACAATGCGAGATATTTCCTAAAGTAAATATATTTTTTTGCTATTAAAATTTGTTATTATATTAAATTTATTTTTTAAAAAATTAATGTAACTATTTCTATATTTTAGTTTTAATGATAGATTTTAAATTATTAAATTAACAGCTAATAAGTATTATATATATAAATATTTTTTTTTATATTATTTGCTGAACATTTTTAAAAACATCAATATTTAATATAAAATTTTTATTTATTGAAATATTATATTTTTTTTCAAGCAAAAAAAATTATTTTAATTTTCTATTCATAACAACTTAATTTTTTTTAAACAGACTTTAGTATCATAACTAAACATATAATTTGCAATTTGTTTATTAATAATTTAACACTAAATAAAACTTATTTACAGTTTTATATATACAGTTATATATAGTTATAAATGTATTAATATATATAAAACTGTAAGTAAGTTTTTTTTAAAATTTTTAATATACAAATTGCTAATTATATTAAAGTTATACATATTTACTTGCTTTCTAATGATTAGTGTTATCTGTATTTATATATATAAAAAAAATTTTGGATTAATTATTATAGTTATTAATTAAATTTTTAATTATTTTCTCAACTTTTTAATATTAGAAACAATTGCCAATAAATCGGATACTATTTCTATACTATTATACTGATCGACAATCGGCTAAACTGATCCAAAAATCAGGTTATATTAGACCGAGTCCTGCCTACGATGACTATCTATCGGGTATATACATGACCACAATGGCTCCCGGAGCTGCTGATGGATCTAGTAGTAGTAGTAGTAGTAACATTGCTCAATCAATTATTAGTATGCATAAAAATATGCCCGGTCATATTAAGATAAATAGTACCGACTGTTATATAGTAGTTGATGTTGGCAAATTGGATCTGGGTAAATTGAATAAAATTACTACTACTACCACCATGTACCAGTACGCCGATACTATACTAGTTGAACCCGGTATGGTCTACAATTGGCCGGGTAGTAGTAGTAGTAGTAATGATGATGATAAACTAACATTAATTAGGCGCACACGTAGTAAAAGTTGGTCAAATTTGGTACATGATGTTGATAATAAATTTAATAATAATATTAATAGTATTAAAACTAATCAAATTGAACACTCAATTGAAACAATTGAATCAAATGAGGTATATATTTATAATTCAATTTTTTAAAATAAGAATATTTTAAAAAATAACTAATTAATAACATTAAAAAATTAATTATATATTGTATCATATAATTAATTTTATGTTATTAATTAGTTATTTTTATTTTTTTTAAATGTATCAATTATAATAATATTATTACTAGTAGTAATTTACTACTATTTAATATTATGATTTTATATGTAATAATATATGTTTTAACCAATAAAATAAATAAATAATATTTTATTATTAATATATATTTATTTTATTAAATAACACATATATTATCAGATATATCATAATATTAAATAGTAATAATTTTTTTAATATATATTATTAATAATAATTAAAAAAATATATACTATTATTATTAGCCACCATCACTGTTATACTATTATACCAATATGGAAATTGCCCAATCAATCAAACATACAGGTGCCATAAATTTGTCGTACACACAAAAATTATTAGGTAAATACACATTGTTGTGTCCACTGGAACCGGTAGTTAATGATAAACCGGAGATACTGGCCAAATATTATAATACTGGACAGTCGACTGTAGTACCCAACGATTGTCAAGATATGGCCGACTGGTGTGTACGTGTTTGGACTAAACAGTTGAGCACCAGTCGATTGACTGGACTGGACAACCATATGTATCAATACAGTGGTACTATACGGATAACGGATCCCAATGATGTATATGAGAAGCCAGAGTGCAGTAAAAGGTATGTATGTTTTTGGGTATTAAAAAATAATTAATTAAATTAATAAATAATTTTTAACTAAAATCTATTTGAATATTATTAGATCATCGATTGGAAAATACAAATAATATAAACTTTTGTTATAAAAATTATATTAATTGATAAATTTTAATTAAAAAATAATATATTTTATTTATTTTTATCAAATTTTTTTTTCGATAATATTCTATTTTCAATATTTAATACTTAAAATTAAACACTAAAAAATACATTTTTTGTATTAATTTAATTTATAGTTATACTATTGAAACATTTTTTTAAAGTGTATTTGTAAATTTTATTTTGAAATAAAATATATTGTTCCGACTCAGAACATTGTATTAATAAAAAAAACAATTTATTGAAAAAAATGAAACAAATTTTGATTTAGTATTTAAAGTGTTTAGAAACCTTAACAATATATATATATATATATTTAAAATTATTAACTTTATGATTTAATTTGTTGTAACTAATAATTACGATAGCTAAAAAATAATTTTTCACATAAACATATAACATATTAGATAATTATTATAATTATATTTCAATTTAAAATATAATCTTATATTAAAATACAGTTTGTCAATAAAATACAATTTATGTTAAAAATAAATTATTATTAGTATTGTACAATTTGTTATTAGTTATGAAATAATTTATAAATATATATCAATATATATATACTAAATATCTATATATAAATATTATTATATATATTATACTTAACCAATGTGTATAATATAATGTGTGTTTTTTATTTAATTAACTATAGTTATTATTACTGAATTATTATGAATAAATTATTTAAAATTAACTGTTAAAAACTTAATTATCGTAAAATTAGATATTTTTTATTTGTTTATAATATAGAGCATCGATTGGAACATTAATTAAATCATAAAAATTATTAATATAATATGAATATCATTAAAAAATTGATTATTTTAAATATTTGTTTTTATAAACATTATTATTGGTCACATTTAGTAAATAAATAAATTTTACTAATATTTTAGATTTTATTTGCGTTGTTTTTACAAAAATTATATATTATTAAAATTTATTTAGTAAAATTAGAAATTTTTTCTAAAAACATTAAATATTATTAAAAAATATGTTATTCTTAATTTTATAATTTAAAAACTGTAATAAGTATTATTCTTAAATTTATAATTTTATTATTAATTTTTATATATAATTAAATAGAATCAATTCTAAATTGCAATTATAAATATAATATAATATAATATAAATAGATTGCAATTATAAATTTTTTTAAATTATATTTAAATTTTATAATTATTAATAAACAAATAAAATAAACTAATCAATAATATTTACAGTTTTATAATAAATATAATTTCTAAAAATTTTAATCTAAAACTGTAACTATTTTTTGTTTTTGTATTTTTAGTTTATTTAATATTTAAAAATAATAATATTTGAGTTAGAAATGTCATACTTTTATATTTAAGATAATTATTCATTTATCTATATTACTATTTATATTACAGTTTACGCTTTTTTAGTTATTGCTAGAATAAAACTGACAGTAAATAATGTAAATATATAAAATTGTCGATTTAGATTAAACTATATATTATTAGTTTTTAAGTACAATTTTACAGTTTTTTTAATTATAAATTTTAATACTAACTTAGAAATAATATTTTTTTTAATATAAAAAACTGTAAAAAATATATTAACTATAATTTTAATTGGAAGTAATTAGTCAACATTTTTAATTAGTGTAAACGTAGCACTCATTATTATAAATTATTTTTAATCTGATGTCTAAATTTAAATAAATAGAAATATTTATATAAATTTATATATTGATTTATATTTATATACACTAGAATTTTTTTTACTAATTATTATTTTTAAAAATTATATTTTTATATAATAATTTAAAATCGTAAGAAATATTATATTATTTATGTTTTGTTTAATAACTATTAAATTATTTAATTAGTATTGTAAATGTGAAAAAAATGTTAAATATGTAAATGTATATCAATAATCTATGTTTACATAATTTATAGATAATATATTTAATATTATTGTTAAATAAATTATTAAAAAATTAACAATTATTGGTAAGAATTTTTAAAATAAACTGATAAAAACATTTATAAAAAAGAACTTTAAATTTTTATCTATACTAAAAACTTTATATTAATAATTATTTATTTTATTATTAGTATTTTTTAATATTATTATTAAAAAATAATTAATTAGTTAAAAATAATAGTGCTATTAATCGATATCAATAAAGTTAACTAAAATGTTTATTAAATAGTTTATATATAAATAAAACTTATTTACAGTTTATTAAAATAAATAATATAAACTTCTAATCTTTCAAATTTCAAAAAAAAAATTTAAATAAAAAATAAAATACTTATAAAAACTAAATAATTAGAAAAAATAATTTACAATTCATTTGTTATTTATATTTTTGATAAAGATTTAAATAATAAAATTAATATAATAATTAAATGGAAATAAAAATTATCAAATAAAATAAATAACCATCTATAATAATTAATATTAAGTATTATAATAAAAGTTAAATAACATACAAATTACAGTTACCATATTAATAGAGTAAAAAACTTTTATTAACATAAATTTTATTATAAATTATTAGTTTAGATAAATTATTCATCGATTTATATATATAACAAAATAGTTTGTAAAACTTAAAAATAATTTTAATTAATTAACTTATTTTTAGATCTAATTAAAATAGTTTTAATTTCATTAATTGTAAATTACACAAGTGTAATTAATTTGTTTAAATTTTTTATGCTTAAACATAAAATGTAATTTTTAGTAATCCAGATAAGTGATAAAGATTTTTAATTTAAATAATTATATTTTATTTTTATTACTAATTAAAAGCATTGTTTTAATATTTTATAAATTTTATATTAAATTTATAATAATTATAAAAAAGTTTTTTGTTATGCTAAATATATATATATATATATTACAATATATGTGAATAATATTAATTAATAAATAAAAAACAAAATTAATTTATTATGTTTTATGTTTTATTATAAACATTATAATCTAAATCTCTAACTATTTTTTAATTTTAATTTTATTTACTAATTAAATAAAATTATAATAATATGCATGGTGCCGAGTATAAATTGTTTAATTAATAAATTTATATAATTTATAATTTTTTAAATATAATATTTAATGTATTTTTATTAAATTTGCTAAAAAATACTGAATAGGCATTGCCATAATTATAATTATATTTAAATTAAAAAATTAATATTTTTTTTGTAATCATTAAACTGTAAATAATATTTTATTAATAATTTTTATTTGTACAAATATCTTCTAAATAAATATATAAATTTTTAAAAATAAAATTTTAACAAAAATTATTAGTTTAGTAATTATTCATTGATTTATATATATATAAATAGTTTGTAAGAAATAAATAATAATTTTAATTATATTATCTAAATTTATTGTTAATTAATATTATTAATATCAATTAAAATTGTTAATAATATTTAATTAAATTAAAAACTATATTTATACAATAATTTGTTTTTTAATTAATATGGAAAAAGTACTGTATTGATGTTTTTGTTAAAAAGTTGCCGTAATAATAGATAATAAAAAAGATAAATTTTTTATAATAAATATTAATAAAATTTTTGTTATTATGATATAGTCATAGTAGTTTATAATAATAATTAATAAAATTAAAAAAAAATATTTACAGATTTATACGAATATTCAACTTATTAAAAAAATTATTATTTAAAACTGTATCTATATTTGATTTTTAATATTTATAAATTATATAATATTTAAAAATATTTATAATAGCATACAAATATTTTTAAACTGTAATAAATATTTTAAGTTTAATTTTAGTTTGAAGTAACAAGTCAACATTTATAATTAGAGAAAAAGCAGCTCAATTATTATTATTAATTATATTAATTTGCTACCTAATTTTAAATAAATAAAAATCTTTAATCAACATTTTTAAGTTAAATATAATAATTTACATTTTATTAAAATAAAGATTATGAACTTTTAATAAAATAAATAACCATGTTAATCTTTTAATCTATAATAATTAATATTATCAGTTTGTATATAGGAATTAATAAGTAAATAGTATAAAATAGTGGATTTTAATTTAACTATATTAGTACTTAAATAATTAAAACAATTTTAATAGTTTATAATTTTTTTTAATTTTAATACTAACTCATAAATAATATTTTTTTTATAAAAAAAACTGTAAAAAAAATTTTTAATGATAATTTTAGTTTCAACAAATCAGTCAACATTTTATTAATTAGGTTAACCTTCGTATTCACTATTATTTTAATTATTTTAATCTGCTGAATAAATTACAATAAATAAAAATATTTAATTATTATTAAGAGTAAGATTAAAAAATAAAATTTTATTATATTAAAATAAATAATATAAACTTCCAAACCTCATGAAATTTAAATTTTAAAAAATATAAATAAGATTATTATATAAACTAAATAATTAGCAAAAATAATTAGTAATTTATTTGTTATTTAATCTTTTTTTAAGAAAGATTTAAATAATTAATTAATTAATAAATAGAAATAAAACAATAATTAGTTAATAAATTAAATAATTTACCTGATCATTCCATCAATAAATCTTTATATTATCAGTTTGTTTATATGTAAAAATGTTAAATAATATTAAAATTACAGTTACCATAAAATAAAATGAAAAATTTTCAAAATAAAGTTTTAGTGAGATTTATATGCTTTAATTTAATACTACTATAATTTGAAATTAATTTTATTATCAGTTTAGTCTAATTTAGATAAATATTTATTTATATATATATAATAATAAAAAACATTTTATAATAATGAATTGTAATAAGTTTTATTAATTAATTTTATGTAGTTATTTATTAGCTTTTAGTTGAATTAGTTTTCTGAGAATATTTAAATTATTTGTTAACTAACTCATCAATAATATATGTATATAAATATAATATATAGAAAAATACATGAATTTAATAAATAGAAATTTTTGAAAACCG